CTCAGCAGTAGCTGACCGTAGTGGAGCATGTCATCAAGCGAGGCGACAATGCCGCCGGTGGCCCACCAGCCATTCAGGTAGAGCAGGTCGTCGTATGGTGCTGTGGGGTAGATTTTCTTTGATCGAATTTTGACAGGGTCCAACTTCTGTCGAATGTCTTGTCCTAGGTAGTACCGCGGCACCTCATGCAGTACCATGCTCGACTCTTTATTGACTGCAGCTGGAAAATGGTTGGATCTAAGAAACTCTGTCATTACTTGCTGAAAAGGCTTCTTAGTCACCGCCTCAATGATGGCGCCCAACACCTGAAAGCCATTGTTAGAGTAGGTAAAAGTGCCTGGCGCATGAGCCAACGGTTCATCCTTAAAGCGGCGAATATGTTCGGTAATGTTTGCAGGCGGATCGACAGTGGTGAAAAAATCGTGCATGGTGTCCGTTTCTTTCAGTCCTGAGGTATGACTGAGCAACTGGCTGATGGTCATGTTGGTTAGCTGACCGTCAATGCGCTTAACAGGAAAAGTTTTTTCTGGTAGGTACTTTGACACAAAATCCTCAAAATGAAGCAATTTTTGGTCCACTAATCTTCCAATTAACGTTGAAGTGAAAGTTTTGGTAATTGATCCAATGCGATAAAGCATGTTTACGTGTGCTGGCAAATTGTTTTCCAAGTCAGCAGTTCCCCATGCTTTCTTCAGTACAACTTGACCGCGCACAGAAAAAGCAAAAAGTAAAGATGGAAAATTCAAAGTACCATTGATGCGGTTAATGAAAGTTTCTAAATCAGCAACGGCAACTGAAAGGCTAGTAAAATTATGAAATGGCACAGGACTTTCATGTGGTAAAGAAAAATTTTGTTTTATCTTTAAAACAAAAATGAAAACACATAAAAATGTTTTTATTTTTAAGTTAAAATTCATTTTAGATCAAAGTATAAATTATAAATTGGTATAACAAATAAAATTATGGTAAAATACATTTTTAAATTTACCTTTATATACTTTATATAATTGTTTTTTTATCAAAAATCAAATTGTAACACATTTTAAGATTTAGTGCAACTAACATTGATTTTTTAGTTGCTCATGTGTAAATTATTTGAACTATTGCATACAAACTAAGTTTTAAGTGTCAAAAATGCAAAATAATCATTAAAAGTTATTCATATCAATCATAGGGTTTGATAAAAAATAAAAATTTTTTGTTATTATTTTTTATTATTGTAATTAAAGTTTTCAAAAAAATCATTTTAATTTTATAAACATTTTGCCAGCTCAAATGCTATAAACAATTGAATTCAGGTATTAAGTTTATTTAACTAAATGATACAAATTTTCGACTGCGTATACAATCATTTGATCCAACCCAATAAGATTTCCCTTGTTGCTTAGAGCAACGCCGACAATTTCTTCATCTGGGTAAATAAAAAGCATAGACGATGCTCCAATCAAACCACCTGAATGCCAGACAGCATGCTGGTGTTTCAGTTGATTATTTCCTTTAGCCACCATCCAGCCAAATCCGTAATCAGAGTAAAGAAAAGACTTCATGTTTGGAGGGCTAATTTGTGAAGTCCATATTTCTTTAATTGTTTTCTGTGACAAAATGGCTGTAAAAGTATAGTTTTGTAAACAACAAAGTTAGATCAACCGTTTTTTGTGTGTTTATTTACCGTTAGGTCGTCCTTTGTAAGAGTCAATGAGCAGCTGTCCGTATGCGAGCAAATCATCAATAGTAGAAATGTAACCGCCGGCTGGCCAGTTTCCTTCAACAAAAACCAGTTCATCAAATGGAACTGAAGGTATGTTTTCTTTTTTATTATTCACATCAAGATAAGTGTAATACCGAGGTACGTCATGTAAAACAACGCTCATGTTTCCAATAAAAGTTGAATTGAGACCACCTTTGCAGAAAAACTCAGAAGCAACTACCTGATAAGGCTTTTTAGTGACCGATTCAATGACAGCTCCAATTAGCTGAAACCCATAGTTGGAGTAGTTGAAGTGACTTCCTGGTTGAAATTGCAATGGTAAATCTTTAAACTTGGCAATTGTTTGCGTTACATTTTGAGCGATGACTACAATGCCTAAATCTTTAAGAATATCTTCCATTACATGCACTCCAGCGCTATGGCTCAGTAAGTGACGCAATGNGCTGAAACCCATAGTTGGAGTAGTTGAAGTGACTTCCTGGTTGAAATTGCAATGGTAAATCTTTAAACTTGGCAATTGTTTGCGTTACATTTTGAGCGATGACTACAATGCCTAAATCTTTAAGAATATCTTCCATTACATGCACTCCAGCGCTATGGCTCAGTAAGTGACGCAATGTGATTGTGGCTGTTTTATTGTTGTATTGCTTGGCAGGAAAAATTGATTCATTTAAGTATTTGCTGAGCGGATCATCATAGTGAACTAGTCCCTTGTCAACCAAAGTTCCAAGAATGGCCGAAGTAAATGATTTAGAAACAGAAGCTTAAAACAAAAAAACATGTATTAACCATCTAAAAACAATCAGTTTGTAAAATTACCCAGTCTATATTTAGTGCTGAGTTTGGCTAAAACATTATTTTCTAAATCAGCACGACCCCAAACTTTTTTAATTACTGGCTTGTTTTTAACTGACAAACCAAAAGCCAGTGAAGGGAAATTAAAAGTTTCATTGAATTTTAAGAAAAATCGTTCAGAGTCAGTAAGTGCATTTGCCAACAATGTAAAATTTTTGTGATGGATTTCTAACCGCTGAGCAAACCCATAAACAAAAAAATTTGCAAAAAATAAAATAATTAGTTTAAAAGTCATTTTAAAACATTTATTTTAAAATAAAAATAAACTTTGTTTAAATCAAAACAAAACATTTGTTTTTAGATGATAATTTGAATTTTCATTAACAACACTTTTATAATTAAAAACACTTCAAAAACATCAAAACAACATTGTGATAATTTTTTAATATCTCTATTGCATTTTGAAACAAAACTTGTTTTCAGATAAAAGTTTAGTATTAGGCTCATTTTTATCAATCTGGTTAAACACTAATAACAAAATTTTTACATTACTCATAATAAAAAAATTTAATAAAAAAGTACTAATGTTGCAATAATCAAACTAACTAAAAGTATAATTTTAATTTTGTTTAACAATTTATTTTTTTAATTGTACAATAAATTAGTGTTACAAAATTTAAGTTTAAAATTTTATTTATAATTAAAAAAATTGTAATACAATTGGCTAAAAAGAGCGCATAATATGTTTTTAAACAATTATACAATTGACTTGTTGTTATTTTTTTGTTAAATCACACTTTATTTATCTTTTTAATAAAAAACAGTTTAATGTTATTCAGTTATTTGTAGAGATTCATGAAATCACTGTTTAAGTATAATTGCTAGAAGAAAATATTAAAAAAATAAAAAAAATAGTTTTAAAAAGTAAGTTCATATGTAGTAAGTAGTGTAAGTAGGTGAAGATCATTAAGTTGTGAGAATAACTTCTGCAAAGTTGGATTACTTTTATTGACCTTGCTTTTCTCTTTAATCCTCAGGCTCATGAGTATGTATCCACTTTTCCATCACCGTTTCCAGCTCCTTCTTACCACCCACTATCTGTATGGTTTTTGACACCTCCTTGGGCAGACTGAGGTGCGTCTTACGCAAGTGCGCTTCCATGTTCCACCGAGAACCGTTCCTGTGACCGCAGTTCGGCCAGAGACAGTAGTAAGACCATTTACGGATTTTTTCAGTAGGCGTGCCCTCTACCCAGGCAAGTTTAAAAGCTTGAGGAGTTAGCTTTTTGTAGTTGGGCACCCGTGAGCTGAGAATTTTGGTGGTGGCTGCTGAAGTGAAAGTGGAAGTGCGACTCATTTTTACCGACTCTGATTTTGACTTTAACATTTTCTGCTTTTTGGCACTGCTGTGGTTGTTGCTGTCACCCTCACCATCATCAGCATCAGCATCGCCTTTCTTTGCCAAACTTTCACGGATGCGGCTTTTCCTGCTGGCAATTCGTGCTGAAGTTCGAACGGGCAAAATCGAATTGAGCTTGTCTTGTGGTGATAAATCATTATCGTTAAAAGCAGCCACAGTTGCATTTGCTCCTTTCGTAGAGGCAACTAATGATGGTGATGCCGATGATTGAGTCGGTGCTGGAGAAAAAGAAGGTGTTGCAACATCCTTTTTAGTCACCTTCTTTTTTGATGATGCTACAGGTGCTTTTGCTGCTGCTGCTGTTGAAGCTGATTTTCGAACCTGGTTTTGAATGTCAACCATTTCAACTTCAACTGGTTGAGGCGGCGGAAGCGGCGGCGGATTTACCGGAGTTTGAGTTGATCCAATGGAGTATTCCCCTAGCCGAGGATACTTGCGCGGTCGACCTCGTCCTCGTTTCACCGGAGTGTCGATGCCTGCTGATGTCGGAGTCGGAGTCGGCGTCAAAGTTGTTTTCGGTGTCAGTGTCGTTGTCAGTGTCGAAGTCGTTTTCGGTGTCTGTTCATGCGTAGGCTTGGGTTTGGGCGCCGGTACTGCAGGCAGACCCACCTCAGCACTGGGAGTGGCCACCTTTGAAGTACTGGGCTGGTGGACTGCCACTCGGAGAGATCGGGTGGACTTTCGTCGATTTTCCGAGTCAACGACTGCTGTTTTTGCCTTGGCCTGCAGCCGTTTCTCCAGATCCGCCGCCTTGGTTTGTTCGTCTTTGCGCGGACGACCTCGTTTTCGTTTTTCAGGTACGGGCGTATCGGTGTTGGGTGCCATCTGCAAACAGCTCTTGTTTTCAACACCAGTAGAAGTAGTAATGGTGGTAGTGGTGGTCAGTTCCAATTGCTCAACTTGGCTGTCAGCAGCAGGGGCAGTTGCAGAGGTAATTGATTGAAAGACCTCAGAAGAGATTTCGTTAGTTTTTTCGTTGTCCTTTGCTGGCAGGTGGTCCTCGTTTGTCTCGATTTCGGCATCTTTGGTAGCATTTTCAACCTCGATGATTGAACTCGTGGTGATGGTGGAAGTAGAAACGTCGTCAATTGACAGGGCGACGGCAGAGGATTTGCTGGCCTTTTCACCTCCGTCGTTTGTAGGCATTTCGTTCATGTTTTTCTCGATTTCGGTTTCAACAGCACTGATTGAAATGGCAGTAACATTGTCAATTGCAGAGGTGACAATTGAATGAATGACAGCAGTGGATTCGCTAGTCTCTTCATCTTTGTCTTTGGTAGGCAGATCCTTATTTTTGCTTTTGCTGGAACTTTCAGCATCTTTGGCAATGTCCATGTTTGAAATAGTATTGCCATGTAAGTTAGTGTCAGAATGATTTGAGAGCTCAGCTGAAACATTTTCATTTGTAGACATGTCTTCATCCATTTTCTCTGTGTCACCACTTTCAGCAGTTGTTTCAGCAGTAATTGAAAGGGCAGCATTGTCAACGGCAACTGAGGCGTTGATAGTTGGAAGTTGTTCTAGAAAGAAGATTTGTTAGAAAAGCCATCGTCAATTTTGTTTACACATGGACATGCTTACCTTTGATGTTGCTTTGGGAATCAGCCCCAGTTTCTACAACAATGTTTGATATAGCAGCAACATTGTCGATTGACTGAATGTCAATAGAGGAATCTTGAGCCTTTTCATCGCCGTCGTCGTCTATAGGCACTTTGTTTTCGTTTTTCTCGGTTTCAGCATCAACATCCATACTTGAAGTTGCAGTAGCATTGTCAATTGCAGAGGTGTCAATTGAATGAAAGACAGCAGGAGATTCGCTAGTCTCTTCATCTTTGTCCTTGGTAGGCACGTCCTTATTCTCGTTTTCGTTGGCATTCTCAGCACCTTTCCCAATGTTCAGGAGTGACGCGAAAGTGTTCTTAATTAGAGTGCTGATAGACTGGGTAACAGAGGAAGCGACACTCAAAACATCTTTTTCAACTGTCGACAACTCTGTATCTATGTTCTCGGTGTCAACTATTTCCGCAGCTGTTTGGGCAGCAATTGAAGAAGCAGCGATTTCTAGAACTGCGGTGTTGCCTGTGGAAGGTTGGTCATCTGCAAAAAAGATCGTTAGAAATGTCATCATTGTCGTTTGAGGGAACATCCTTACCTTTGTTTTGGCTGGCATCCTCAGCACTGCTTGATACCATTGTTTTGCCATCTGAGTTACTGATGGAATGGTTAGAGAATTCAATTGAAACATCCTCAGTTGTCGACAACTCCACATCCATGCTTTTGGTGTCAACACTTTTAACCGTCGTTTCAGCAGTAATTAAAGAGGCGGCATTTTCTAATACTGTGCTGCTGCTTGTCGAAGGTTCGTCATCTGCAAAAAGATCGTTAGAAAAGTCATCATTGTTGCTTGAAAACACATCTTTACCTTTGTTTTTGCTTTGAGCATCAGCATCAATTTCAACAACGATGCTTGAGATTACAACGTCATCAATTGCGGAAGAGCTGATTGAATGAACGATAGCAGAGGATTTGCTAGCCTTTTCATCTACATCGTTTGTAGACACGTCCTTATTCTCGTTCTTCTTGTTGACATCATCAGCAACCTCAGAAACGTCAATGTTTGATTCCATTGTTTTGTCAACTGAGTTAACGATAGATGATTCAATGGAGCCATCTTCATTTGTCGACAAATTCATTTCTGTGTTCTCAGTGTCTCCATTTTCAACCGTTGTTTCAGCAAAGATTGAAAGGGCATCAGCATCAGTTTCAACACCAATGTTTGAAATGGTGGTTGCAGAATCGTTAATTGACTGAGCGACTGCAAAAGATTCGCAAACTTTTTCATTCCCATCGCTAGTAGGTGCATCCTTATTCTTGTTTTGGGCACATTTGCCATTTTCAGAATCATCAATGTCCATTTCGATGTTTAAAGTTGTAGTATCAGTTTCATTTGAATGAATGACAACAAAAGAGTTGCTAACTCTCTTATCTTCTTTTGTAGGCACGTCCTTATTCTCGTTTTTGCTGGCATTCTCAGCATTCTCAGCAATGTCCAGACTTGGAACGATGGCGTTTTCAGTTAAAATCTTGATAGATTCTGCGATAGAAAATTCGATACTTGAACCATCATTTTCAGTTGTGGACAACTCCACTTCCATGTTCTCGGTGGAAACACTTTCAACGGTTGTTTCAGCAAAAATTGAAAGGGTAGCAGCATTTTCAACTCCTGAAGAAGCGTTCTTGTTGGTTGAATTGTCTGTGAAAAATTTGTTGAACAGGTCATCATCGTCGTTTGATGGCACTTTTTTACCTTTGATATTGCTGGCATCTTCAACAATCTTTGATACTGTTGTTTTGATAATATCTGAATTACTGATAGAGTGCTCAAAAGATTTAATAGAAGTATCCTCAATCGTCGACCGTTCCACATCCGTTTTCTCGGTGTCCACACTTTGAGCCACTGTTTCAGCAATGATTGAAGGAGCAGCATTTTCTAATACTGTGTTGTTGTTTGTAGAAAATTGGTCATCTGCAAAATAATTGTTAGAAAGGTCATCATCGTCATTTGTAGACACATTCATACCTTTGCTTTTGTTTGGGACATTAGCATCAGTTTCAACAACGATGCTTGAGATTGCAACCTCATCAATTGCGGAGGAGATAATTGAATGAATGGCTGCAGAGGATCCGCTAGTCTCTTGATTTTTATCGTTCATAGTCACGTCCTCCTCCTCGTTTTTGCTGGCATTCTCAGCGCCCTCAGCAATGTTAATACTTAAATCAGTTTTGTCGACTAAATTCTCGCTGCTATCAACAATTGTTGAAGGTTCATCAGCATCAATTTCGACACAAATGTTTGAAGTGGTAACAGCAGAACCGTCAATTGAATGAGCGACTGCAGAAGATTCAAAAGTATCTTCATTCTCATCCCTTGCATCTTTATCCTCGTTTTGAGCATCCTTGGCATTTTTATCATTCTCACCAATGTCGATGTTTGAAGCGGTGGTGTTTTCAGCTAGAATGCTGATAGACTGGGTGACAGAGTAGTCAATACTTGAAACATTATTTTCAGTTGTGGACGACTCTATTTCCATGTTCTCGTTGCGATCAACATTTTCAATTGCTGTTTCAGCAGAGATTGAGAGGGTAGCAGCATTTTCAACTACTGAATATGTGCTGTTGTTGGCTGAATCGTTTGCAAAAAAATATGTTAGAAAAGTCATTATCGGTATTTAAAAATTTTTTACCTTTGTTTTTGCTAGCATCCTCACCATCGTTTGCTATCATTGTTTTGCCATCTGAGTTACTAATAGAAAGATTTTGCTCAGAAGATTCAGTAAAAACATCCTCAATTGTCGACAACTCCATATCCATGTTTTTGGTGTCGGCATTTTTAGCCGATGTTTCAGCAGAGATCGAAAGAATAGCAGCATCGTCAACTGCATCTGAAGGATTGCTGGTTTCTAATGAATAGTTTGAAAAAAAATTGTTAAAACGGTCATCTCTATTGCTTGTAAGCACATCCTTACTTTTGCTGGTGGTATCTTGAGCATTTTTAGCAACAATGTCAATGTTTGATTCCATTGTTTTGTCAGCTGAGTTAACGATAGATGATTCAATAGAGCCATCTTCAGTTGTCGACAAGTCCACTTCTGTGTTCTCTGTGTCTCCATTTTCAGTTGTTGTTTCAGAAGTGATCAAAAGGGCTGCATTATTGTCAACAACGATGTTTGAAATTGAAGCATTATTTTCATTTGAATGAATGACAACAGAGAAATCGCTAGCTTCCTCATTTCCCTTTGTAGGCTCGTCCTTATTCTCGTTTTTGCTGGCATTTTCAACATTTTCGGCAATGTCCATGTGTGGAACAGTGGTGCATTCATTTAGAATCTTGAGAGACTCTGCGATAGAAAATTCGATACTTAAAACATCATTTTCAGTTGAAGACGACTCCACGTCCATGTTTTCGATGTCATCATCTCCAGTTGCTGTTTCAATGATTGAACAAGTAGCATTGTCAATTTCTACTGAAGTGTTGTTTGTAAAATCATTATCTGCAAAAATAATGTTAAAAAAGTCATTTCCATTGTCTGTAAACGCATCCTTACCTTTGCTATGGCTGGCATCCTCAACAATGTTTGAAACCACTGTTTCACCAGTTAAATTATCAATAGAATGATCACAAGATTTGATGAGAACTTCTTCAGTTGTCGACAACTCTGCATCCATTTTCTCGGCGATGTCAACACTTTCAGCAACTGTTTCCGGAATGATGGCTGAAGTTGGTGCTGCAGTAGTGACAGGTGGTGATGACGTCGATGGTAGTGGAGATGGGATCACAGATACATTTTCAGCTGAAGGTGAGATCTTTTTCGATAGGTCTTGAACAACAGCAGTGTTTTCAGAGGTAGAAGCAGAGGATGAGGTAAAAACAGGCTGCTGCTGTTGTTGTTTTTCCGGTGTCGTTGTCAGTGAAGACAATTGACGACGAGCAATGGCCTTTGGTCTGACGATCACAGGCGATGATATTGTTGTTGCTGTTGTTGTTGATGCCAATGATGAGGCTGAAGACACGGCTGCAGCTTTGGAGTGGTGATCTTCCGCAATCAAAGTGCCACTCACGGTTTTTTGCGACGGTTTTGGTCGAGTCTCAACGACAGTTGTCTTCATTGTCGTTACTCCAGTTCCGACTTTGGTCGTCATATCCAGTCGTCGACCGTGATTAGCAGCATTTAATTTTGAATTTGCCCCAACACCAGCAGAAAGTTTAGCCAGAGTGGCGGCTCTGACACTGGCATCGTCTTGGCTCTTTTTGGCTGATGAGCTGAGGATCTGTTTAACTACTTCCGTTCCCTTCAGCTCTGGCCGCTTTAGGAAACCCTTGGGGCGCATGTAGGTGGGCACAACGGCCTGTTGCAGTCGCTGCACCTCCAGTCGAGGCGTCTGGAAGACGAGGGGCGCCGGTGGGGGCACCTTTGTGCGGACGAAGCGAACTAGGTCCTCCTCCACCTCTGAGTCCACTGAGTCTTCTGAGTCCACTGAGTTGTCCAAGTCGTCCGAATCGTCCGAGTCTATTGTTTTGGAGATTTTGTTGTCCAGGCAAACCGTGGCGATCCGCTTGTTGGCCCTCTCCCTGGCCGCCTTGCGAATCAGGTACAACTCCCGCGCCTCTTTCAGTTGATCAGAGGCGAGCATTTGCGAGATCAGAAGGGGGAAGGTTTCCTCTTCGCTCAGGGGCAGGCGCTCTCCGGTGCAGGGCAAAATGGGAAGACCGAAGCATTCGTCATCGCTGTCTTCATTGCTGTCATCATCGCTGTCATCATCGCTGTCATCCTCGCTGTAGTCATCGATGTCATCATCATCATCATCGNATCGATGTCATCATTTCTGTCGTCATCATCATCGTCATCATCATCGTCATCATCATCGTCATCATCCATTGAAAACTTATGATTCCTGGCACAGTTCACAGTAGAAGAGGAGGAGGAAGAGGAGGAAGAGGAAGCGGATGAATTGCTCTGCTTCTGTTGTGCTGCAGAGGTGACACTCCCCTTTGTCCCATTTACAACCTCCTTCTCTGTTTCCAGCACTACCGATGGCTCGATGCCGTGCAGGTGGCGCAGTTGAGCGGCCATCACCTCCGCCTTGTTCTGCCAGAACAGGGCATCATGTTGCGCCTTGATCACTGCCTTGCGCTCCTCCGCCAGCTTCCGGTAGGCTAGGGAGCCGGCAATGGGGGTGGCCCTGCCTTCGGCAATGGCTTCACTTTCTTGCAGCTTTCTGGCCACCGCACAACGACAGTGCACCTTTGGATTGCTGCACTCTTTGTTCTCGTCCTGGTCGCGGACACAGGGCACAATAGGGCGGCCGAAAAAGATGATCAACTCGGCCACCGCCTCATCGGTGAAGGCGTCGCTTCTGGCAAAGGAGCGCATCTTGGCAATGCACTTCAGTATGCACTCATCGCGGTCGTCATTTTCGGCCTCGTCCTCGCCAATGAAGTCCATCAGCTCAATGAACTTGGGGTCCTTTTCTATGTCATACGGCGGTGGTGATGCTGATGAGCTTTGGCTGGCCGTCATCACCTCTTCATTGGTGGCGGTGATGGGCTTTGAGGCGGTAGGAGCAGCATCAGCAACAGAATATTTGACGGAGACACTTGATGAATGTTGTTGAGCGATGATTTGCACTGGCATCGGCGTCGGCGTCGACTTCGGCAGACGTCGGTACATCACTCCATTGATATTAATCAGACCCTCCGTCGAGACGGCCTTGATGTTTCCTGTTGGTTGTCCCCGGTTCTGGTGACTGACTGATTGAGGCATGGCTGGAAAAGATAGAAAAACTTGATCTGCAGTAATTTTTGTTGTGGCGGTAGCGCTTTTTGGCAGTGTGTTGTTGTTCATGTTAACTGCCATAGCATCACCTCAACTGCCTCCCTTCTAAAGACAACAATTTTGAAACGGTTGTTCAGGTGAAATCTGGTAAAAATTGCGCATGTAAAAAAATTTGTAGAGTGGCAAAGAAAGAAACTGAAACTGAAAACAGCAAAACGTTACAAAACAAAAGCTGCTAGCTCAGCGTGCTTTCAGCGTGGAGTGCTCAGCAGCCTCTAGGGGAAAAACAGCCGAGCTGCATCACGACTATCGATTGTTGCCAGCGGCTTGATGGTTTTACTTATTTTGCATTGGCTAAAAAGATCATTTGAAATGAACAATGATCAAAATTTAAAAATTGTTAAAACTGAATTGCAAATAACAACGTGTAAAAAATAAAAAAATGTTAGCTTTAGATTTTTGTTTTTTAAAAAAAAATTTAAACTTTGGCTTTTAACATACTGCGCTTATTGAAGACTAAGATATTGTTAAAACCCAAAACAAAACTTAGTTTTATTAAATGCTTAAACTATAAATTTGTTTAAATTTAGTTTTGTTTTAAAAACAATATTTTATAATTGTAATAAGGAAGTTTTAGTTACCACTGTTAAATTGTAAAATACTAATATTAAACTTTATCATTAGTTTTACACTTTAAGTGCAATTGCTTTCTCAAATTGCAATTTTTTAAATAATTAAAAAGNTTTTAAAAATTGTTAAAACTGAATTGCAAATAACAACGTGTAAAAAATAAAAAAATATTAGCTTTAAATTTTTGTTTTTTTTAAATTTAAATTTTGGCTTTTAACAAACTGCGCTTATTGAAAACTAAGAATTCGCTAAAACCCAAAGCAAAACTAAGTTTTATTAAATGCTTAAACTATAAATTTGTTTAAATTTAGTTTTGTTTTAAAAACAATATTTTATAATTGTAATAAGGAAGTTTTAGTTACCACTGTTAAATTGTAAAATACTAATATTAAACTTTATCATTAGTTTTACACTTTAAGTGCAATTGCTTTCTCAAATTGCAATTTTTTAAATAATTAAAAAGTTGTAAAAATTTAAAAAAATAAAAAAGTTTAAGTGGTTTCTAAATTGCATTAATTTTTAATTGGATTAAGGACCAAATAAATTAGTAATTGTAGTTTATGTACAAACTAATTTAAAAGACAAATTTAGTAGTATTTTTGNTTTGTAAAAGTTTATTGAAATAAAAAAGTTTAAGTGGTTTCTAAATTGCATTAATTTTTAATTGGATTAAGGACTAAATAAATTAGTAATTGTAGTTTATGTACAAACTAATTTAAAAGACAAATTTAGTAGTATTTTTGCACTAAATAAGGGCATTTTCATAGTATTTAAGCAATAAAAAAACAATACAAATTAACTATTTTTAACTTTTATACATGTTTTAAAAATGAGACTTATAATTGCTGTTTTTGGGTGTTTAGTAGTTGGGCTCGTTGAGTCAGCTCCAACTGAACAANTTTAGTAGTATTTTTGCACTAAATAAGGGCATTTTCATAGTATTTAAGCAATAAAAAAACAATACAAATTAACTATTTTTAACTTTTATACATGTTTTAAAAATGAGACTTATAATTGCTGTTTTTGGGTGTTTAGTAGTTGGGCTCGTTGAGTCAGCTCCAACTGAACAATTGTGCTCAACACCAATGTGTAAAAAATCTGCGGAATTGCTTCAAAAATCCTTAAATACTTCAGTTAATCCGGTAATTTACCTTTATAAAAACACAATTACTTATTTACAATTTTAAACTTTGTAGTGCGACAACTTCTACGAGTTTGCTTGTGGTGGCTGGCGCAAAATACCCATTCCAGAAAACAAATATGCCGTCGGTCCTATAACCAATATGGCTGAGTTAATGATGTCACGAATAAAGGACTTGTTAATGTCGTTTAACGTTGCCGTTGATGGTAAATCTCATGCAAAAGTGGTCACATTAGCGGCAAAAACTTTTCAACAATGTGTTAACGCGACTGACAATAAAAAAGGCTTAAACCATCTGAAAGCGGCAGTAAACGAAGTTTTTGGTGGATGGGGCATTGGTCAAAAGAACACTGGCCATGCTCACAAAGAACAAAGTTGGCATGAGTACCTGGTGCTTGCACTTACAAGAGGAAACATTTGGCCTGTTATTGACATTCGTATGACGACCAACTCCTATAATTCAAGTGAAAACGACATTGGAGTAAGTTAAACCGAAGTTGTTTATCTTTACAAAACTAACTTTAAATAATTTGTTTAGTTTGCTCCAGCTGATCTTGGGCTGGGCGATCATCAGTTGAAAAATTTGTCTGTTTACCCTTCTGTAATTACTGGCTACAAAAAATATATTGCAAGTTACGGAAAACTGTTTTGTGGATCAGATTGCTCTACTCTAGAAAAAGACATTGATGAGATGTTGCATTTAGAATCGCAACTTGCCAATGCTCGCTCTCCACCAGAAGCTTTGCATGATACGGCAAACAGTGACGTCAAGCTAACCATTAAAGAGTTAAGTGAAAAATCGTCTTTCAACTGGCACAAAGAGGTAATTGTGCCCATTTACCAATCCTTCGGCTTGTCCAACTTTCCTCTTGAATCTGCAAACGTAAACATTTACGATGCTTCATACTTGCTTAAAGCGGTAGAAATTTTGAAAAAAGCTTCGCCTCGAACCGTTGCCAATCTGTTTGCCTGGCGACTTGTTCAGGGTTATGGTTCCGCCGCCTCTGAGCAGTTTCGTTTAATTACATTTGACTTTCTCAAAGTAAACATGGGCATTAAAAAACTGGACGAACGTTGGAAATATTGCATGGGCTTTGTCAATGGTCACTTTGGTTTTGACCACCTGGCAGTGCCTGTCAGTCGACTTTACGTCGACCGGTATTTTTCAAAGGCAGAAAGAACTGAAGCACTAAAAATGGTGGAATCAATTCAAAAGTCATTCGGACGACTGTTGCTTGATAACGAATGGCTCGACGAGGACACTCGTTTTGCTGCGCTCGACAAACTGGCACTGTTGACTAAGAAAGTTGCCTACCCAGAGAGTTTTCTTGATAATGCCCATTTGGATGCAAACTACGGTTTGAATAATGCCACGTTTGCTAAAGAAGTTCAAGAACAAGAAAATCATCTGTTGAGTATGATGGCCGCTAACAATGCATTCATAAAACTGCAGTTTCAGCAAATTAATGGTTTGCCTGTTTATAATAAAGAGTAAGTTTGTTTTAAATATTCAAAAGTTATTTTTATTTTAATCATACTCACCTTTAGGTCATGGATTATTCCCCCTAACACTATTAATGCTGTATACAACTACCACGACAATTCAATAAGTAAATTTTTTGACTAAATAACAATGTTCTAAAAAACATTGTTTGTGTTTTTAGCTATTCCAGCAGGTTTCCTGATGTTTCCATCATTTAGTAAAGAAAGGCCGTTTAGCCTTAACTACGGTGCAATTGGATCCATTGTTGGTCATGAGATCACGCATGGATTTGATGATAAGGGAAGACAGTTTGACAGAAACGGCAACCTGAATAACTGGTGGTCAAACGACACTGCAACTAAATACAAACAGCGAGGGGAGTGTTTAGTCAAACAATACAGCAGTCTTGTTGAACCGGTCACTGGAATGCATGTAAGTTTTAAGTAATAAAAATTTAAAAATAATTACTCGCATTATCGTTTGTTGCCGTGGATAGCTTAACGGAAAAAATGGTTTAGGTGAAAATACGGCTGATAATGGCGGTGTTCACCTTTCATATGAAGCTTTTCGCCATGAACAGCAGCAACATCCTTCCACACGACTAGCCGATTTGCCACAATATTCGCCTGAACAGCTTTTTTTCCTTTTTTATGCAAACGTAAGAGTTATTTTTCTTTTTTTGCATTTGTTTAATTTTTTTTCATTAGGGATGGTGTGACATGGTTAGACCTGAAATAATGCCAACTGTTGTCAGCGATACTCATTCACCAAGCCAATTTCGAGCAAATGTTCCGTTAATGAATTCTAAAGATTTTGCTGCTGCTTTTAAATGTCCAGTTGGATCAAAAATGAACCCAAAAGAAAAATGTGTCGTTTGGTAAATTTTGCAAACCATTTTAAAACAAATTGTTAAACAATTTAAATTACAATTTTGAATCATTGATAACGACAACATTAAATGACAATTACAAAAAATTTCAATAAATTTTGTTTTATTTTATTGTTTTAAAATTTTTAACTGTTGCTAAAATTACCTACTAGTCAATTGATGTTGTTGATTTGAGTAATGCAGTGGTATTGCTTAAAACAACCAACATTGTTTCGGTTTCTGTTTCATTTTGTGGCTCTTTTAAATTAGGCAAATTTTTTGCCGAAAACGAGGTTGAAGTGCTGCCAGATGTGACAAAAATAGGTTTACAAATCTCTTTTGGGTAGCGTTTATGGTGGCNCTGTTTCATTTTGTGGCTCTTTTAAATTAGGCAAATTTTTTGCCGAAAACGAGGTTGAAGTGCTGCCAGATGTGACAAAAATAGGTTTACAAATCTCTTTTGGGTAGCGTTTATGGTGGCTACAAATGGGCAACGGATGGCCGCGACTGTTGAAAAACCAGTCATCAAGAGAAAAAACAGAGTCATTGCCAAAGATGAGGTAGAGGTAGCGAAATGTGCCCGAGAAGAGTATCGCTCGCTGGTAATTTTTTTGCTCCACGGCTGACAGATTCGGTGAGTTGACGTTTTTCAGGTCAGTGTATCCGCCGCTGGCAGTTCGACTGTACCGGTACAGAGATTGTGCCATCTCCCAAGCCCGCTCTCGATACTTCACGTCTCCAGTGGTGCGCCAGAGGAAAAAGTACGACTCAGACAGCGAGTTGCTAGAAGTTGCAGATTTAAAGAAAGCAAATAAAAAGAGTATTCATATTAGCAATTGTCGACAGCAGCAGCACTTACGTCAGGTAGCCCTCTGGGTCGGTGACCTTGTTGAGCATAAACTCAGTGGGCAGCATTTTGGTTCGGGTGGCATTTGCCGCATAGTAACAGGTCTCGGTGATGTTCACCGCCAGCTGCCAGTGGAGAGTGTGCTTTGGTGAGTTGACCCTCATCAGCTCCTGGGCACCCAGGGCAAAGAGGGCGCCCAGCAGGCAGCCTGACTCGTCCATGCCAAAGTTGTGCAGGTGCGTCTTGGTGTTGTAGGAGCGGTGGTAGAGGTGACTCTGTCCGGTGGTGCTGCGCATCACCTTGAAGAGGTCCATTCGAACGTTGGCCTCCACTGCCTCGCTGTACATCTCCAGCAGCGACCGATCCTGTCGACCGAGTTGAATATAGGAACGCAGCATGTTGTAGTAGAAGTCTGTGGCCACGCCGAACATCGAGGAGACGGTGTTGTTGGCCGCCCCCGTCTCCGAGTGGACCTTGGTCAGGTACAGGTCGCCGAAAGGTCGCGCCATCGAGTGAATTGTCGAGCGAATCTTCACCAAACGGTCGCCCAGTCCTAGCTGACTGTTGTCCCTAGTTAGATTGGCCAGGTAGATCAGCTCCGGTTGTTGGAAGCCAATGTTGGCAATGAAGTTGCTGGCGTCGATGGTTTTGCGCTGTTTTGCATTGTACTGGTACGGCAGCAATCCCGTTGTCGGGTTGTAGGCGGGTGCCAGGGCTAAGGCCACTGCTACTGATCTGTCGTGTAATGTGAGCAAAAATAAACAATTTTATACAAAGTTTAATTTTTTTTATTCAATTGACACCCTTGTTATTAGTTGCCTACTTGTTGAGAAAGAGTTGGTCTCCGCTGATGGTGTACGCAGACAGCAGTCCACCAAGGTAGTCTATAAGTGCCTCTCTCAGGCGAATGTCATAGTCAAGGTCGGCAAAGTGAAGCATATTCTCGATCCAGTTTCGTCCTGCCTGCCACTGCTCGGTCAGGCCCATCAGCCAAAGGGTTACCATGGCGTCGACAATCGTTTCGCCGGGATAAGGTGACAGACGGCCGCTGAAAGGCTCCAGAGTCAGAGGACAAAACTCAGGAGCGCCCCAGACGTACTGTTGATAAGCAGAAAAGGCTTCCACAGTCATCAGGCGTACAAAACTTTGACGACACTCTAATTGGGTTGGCAGGTGGTCACAAGTGGCTGAAGGTGGCAAAGGCGGTGGAATGTTTTCGGCCACCAGCTTTTGTTCTTTGGCTTTATCAGTTTTTGAAGAAGAAGTTAGTCTCCAAATGAAAACTCCTGTAGTGACGACTGCCACTACAAAAAGCAACCCTAAAACAACGAGGCGAATGAGCTTTTTGCGACGTCGACGACGATGAGTTGATGCTGATGTCACCAGTTCACCTGGCTCCTCGTAGATGATGGCGTCATAAAAGTTAATGTTAGCGTCGACAAACGGTTTGTTTTGCTGACAGTTTTCACCATCCTGTAACGCTAAGTAGGATTCTCGTTGAAGGAGATCACCGCCTTCATTGGCCCATTCCATTGACTGTTTTTGGTCGCCCTTAAGCTGAAAGGTTTGTTCTTTTTTGCCTTCTGAGTAGTCATTGCTTTTGATGGTAACTGAGTTCTGACTAGAAGTTCTTGGTTCAATGTGGCGTGTGCTGTGATTGTGATACTGGTTTTGATTTAATGTTTGTATTTGACTTTCAAGTGATTCAATTGGAGAAAGTCGGTTGAGATTGATGTACTCATCCGGCAGTGGCTGTTTATCTGATGTTGTCATTTTAAAAAGTTGTAATTGTAGGAAATAAACGAATTTAAAACATTTTAAGTAGTTCGTATTAGATTTGAAACTTATTTTAATAAGAGTTTTAACATTTTGAAAAAAACACGACAAAAAACCCCAATTTATCTTTCGTTTAAAAGATAGTTTTAAAATCCCGTTTTAAAATTATCAGCAGGATTTCCTTTTTTACCAAGCTACTAAAAACTAGATAAAGTACAAGAGTGTCAAATAAACTCATTTTTTTAATTTTACCTAAATTAAAATAATTAATAACCAAAAGCATTTAATAACAATAACGTGCTTTTGATCTTTAAGCGACTGCTCTGGTTTAAAAAACTCAATTTGTTAATCGATAAATTTAGTTATTTAGATAAAAAGAACAAGTTTTTGTAAAGACAACGACGTTAGCGCCTTTGTTTATTGTTTAAAAGCATAATTTTAATTTTAAAGATGATAACTGTTGCTAAAATATCTACTAGTTAAGTTTTTCTGCTAACGGTTCGTTGAGTTCATAACGGCTGGCTGCATCAATAATGCTCAAGTAGCTGTTCATTAAAGATGCTTTTTGGTACTTTTGATTAAAGTTAACCTGAGATTGAAGCAGTGTATTTTCAATGTTTGTTACTCTAATTTGAATAAGGCTAGTTTCGTTTCCTTTAGGAAATGCGCCATTATCCGGAAAGTACTCTTCACTGGAAATAAGAAAGCACTTCGAAAGAGTGCCCTTCACGTCAAACATTGTTTGCACGGCAATGCAGGCGTCGA